GAAACTTTCTTTGCTTATCAAACCATATTTTTTTGCAAATTTCTGATATGGGTATAGGTGGATGTGCGGTGTATTTCGGAAGGTTTGTTGCTTCTGATGGCCTTTACCGCTTTGGAAAATGTAGATTTTTTGGAAAGTTATAGCATGTCAAAACGAAAACTTGCAAAACGCGCATTACTTTTGCACCAACCTAATAATTCTTTTAGAGAGAAATTTGTTTTGAACCCGCTAGCAGACTCACTAGGTTGGAAAACTTTTAAAATCTTTATTATGTGTAACAGAAAGGCTATATAGAGCAAGTGAATTTGTGCTACAGTTCTTTTTAGCAAGCGTTATCGGCATTACAAGCATGGCAAATTTTCTGAAGTAATGTCGCCACCATAAGACCATTCTAACCGTTAATTCAACTCTTCTGTACCCTCAACGACTAATTCATGCATATGTTGCCCCTTTAATAATTTTCAATTAACTTCTCACGGCCGAATACATGCCCGAAAATGAGTTGTACACCAAAATATTGAGATTGTCGAATAACCACTATTTTCAACCTGTCATCGCAGTTTTCATGGCTTCGACACATCAGTCTTCCACGCAAAAATGCTCAGCACTGTTGAGTAAGAGAATCAGTACAACTTCCAAATGTCCAGCAACTTCAAGGCAGGAGGCTTCAAAGAAAAGAAGTTCGGCACCTGGGATCATCAGGTTACAGAAAACTTGGAAAAGGCGGCTTAGAGACATTTGTCCGGACAAAGAATCGATTATGAGGTTCTGTGCTTACCTGGGCCTATTCGCTATGATTAATACGAAAATCCATCTCGGGGAGCGCGAAAATGGCAAAAGACGGCTCTAACGTAGGAGGGAATAGGCGGTCAGCTGGTAGGCGGGGTCTTCCACTCTGTGAAGTCATTTTCCCAGCTTCAGGAGCGATCTTCTCGGTTCCATCAGCCGCTCTAATATCACCATCAGCGAAGCGCTAACGCGTGACTTGAATCGAGAAGATCACTGCGGAAGTTGAGTGGGTGACTCACAAAGTAGAAGGCCCCGCCCACCTGCTGATTTCCCTCCTACGTTGAAGCCCTTTTTTGCCGTTTTCGCGTTTTCCAAAATGGATTTTCGTATTAATCATAGCGAATAGACTCAGGTAAGCACATAATCTCATCACCAACTTCTTGTCCAGACAGTGCCTCTAAGCCGCATTTTCCAAGTTTTCTGTAACCTGATGATCCCCGGTGCAGAACGTCTTTTCTTTGAGGTATATCCCTGCCTTGAAGTTGCTAAACATTTGGAAGGTACTGATCATCTTACTCAACAATGCTGAGCATATCTGCATGAAGGACCGATGTGTCGAAGCCATGAAGACTGCGATGCACAAGTTGAAAATTGTGGTTTATCGACAACCTCAGTTTTTTGGAAATTTATCTGTTTTAATCAAACATAAGCACTGTTGGGTGGGGCGATAGCTACAAGGAAGATTTTTATCGACTTCGAAGGAAGAAAAAAGACTTTGAAGAGAAGACGATCGCGTTAGTATTTCTGTGTCTTTGTTTTGTTGCCCCTGACCTATCAAACGACTGAAGGGAATCCATCCTGATTAGTGATTATCCAGCATAATCCTCCAACTTTTTCAAAGTGCGAAAGCATGAAAAAGTGTGCTTCAATCCGAAATTGATTAAAGGACGCCAACATTTGCGGGTCCGCCAACGATGCGACCTGCTTGCGACTCCGCCTTTTTCGAAAGAGGGATTTTGTTGTTAAAAAATGTTTGAATTTCTTGCAGGTTGTTTGTGTTGTTTGTAACTTTTGCGTTCTCTTTGTCACGTTTCGCATCATATACTAGTAGTCAGGATAAGTAATAGTATGTGAAGTCCTTTAATTTACTCTTTTACTATTGTTGTGTTTATTTTTCCCTTTGTCCAGTTGTCTTTGTGTTTTGCCGCATGCATTTGATCTTTCTGCTAGCAACGTTGCAGTGTTAAAAATCAATTTCAGGTTTATCAGCGCTGAAGCTTAGTGCGTAGCAAAAGCTTCATCACTTTGTCAAAATGGTAAGGTTTCATTAAATCCACACTTGTAGCTTTTTGATGTCTCCTTATTTAGACGATCAGTAAGAATAATAAAATGATGGCTCACCTGAACTACAGGATGAAGGTGATCCTACAAGATGCACGAACTTTCGTTGGATACTTTAAAGGTTGGTGGTATCTGTAGATCTTCTGTTTTCCGAAAATGGTGGTTTCAGCTTTCGACAAGCACATGAATATCTTGCTAGCAGACTGTGAAGAATTTCGACAGATCAAACCAAAGCCTGGAAAGAAAGTGAGGTTTTACATTTACCTCGTACTTGCTTTTGAGACCAAAAACTGCATTTGCTTGGATCCACACGGAACCCTCAACAACTGATCACAAAAATGACATTCAGCTCTGGTAATGGGACCTTTTATTGGGGCTACGGTAGATGTACGGTATAGAATACTCTCAGTTGATGTGGCTTTGTATTAAAGGCACCGTCCACCCTATGTTGGGGATCTTGAGCTTTTGGCAGCAGATAGTAATCCCCTATAGAGCCAATGCGCGAGTCGCGGCGCAAAACGTTGCTTCAGAAGTGTGAAAATCGCTCCGTAACGAAGATGCACGTGGACCCCTAGT